ATGTACTTAAGGCAACATTCCACTTTCAGAGGGGAGGTGCATCTTTAAGACAATATTTCTGTCTGTCAATGTATGATTGTCCCACTTATACAATCCTATTTCTTGTGTGACAGTAGGTCTTACCATGGCTTGCATTTTAATTGACAGAGAGGTTTACAGGGCTGGTGTTTTGTTGTCCCCTTCCACAATCTAGAGCACTCACAAGCACATAGTCTGATCTGGTGCGACAAGGTCAATTTGTCATATTGACTTTAGAATGGATACAATCATGGATCAGGAATGTAGAATTTGTTAAACAATCAAGCACACATTCGCAAGCCGGTGCCTCTGTCTGGGTCTCTCTGTTTCAGATGAGTTTTGTGTATACAATTGGATAATTCTCCACAAAAACAAAACAAACTACAGCTGTGAGGAGGAGAGGTAACCTTAGCAGGAAGTCCTCAGTTGTGCCTTTCTGTCATATGAACGAACGTCTCTTGACTACAAAGTTTTAAATTAGATAACATAAGCATACAATTGTCTCAGCTCCATCCAGCATACAGTAGGTGCCCTTAGTATGACAAGTAGGCAGCACTTCCATGCAGTCTTCCTCAGTTTCTCACAGACCTTGGGGAATAAGAGGTACTTTTGGGGAAAACACAGCTATTTCTCCACCTGTGAAATAAACAAAGAAACTTTTAGAGGAGTATTCCTCTGAGAGGTCCTCAGTAATGGCATGGATGCTTGTGTAAAATAAGTAAAACAGTGCCAGGTTCTTAATCTGTTTATTTTGCATATTATGCAAAATATTTTGTGTTAACAGCGAAATTTAAGTGTGCCATTTAAACCTTAATTTCTTACCGGTTTCCAAGTGAAGAAAAATAATGAGGAGTCTCTTAAAAGTAGATGCACATCCCTGTGAGTATATTTCATTCATTCTGGAAAGGCCCTTTACCACAGTTGGATAAATTTCCTTAACCAAAACATTTATTTGAAAACCATCTTTGCTTTCATGAAAGAAGCTTTTGTCCCCTCAGGGAGGTGTCCTGCAGTTAGTGCAGAATTTCTTATACAGAAACCTGCTTTTCTTTTTAAAAAACTATTAATGGAACACTTGCAAGGTACCTTGCAGGGGTAATCACAAAATTTTGATTAAACTGCAAAGATTTTTAATGTAATAAAACAAAGATTATTGTAAGTATTGACAGGGAATTCTTTATGATATAAAACAATGTACATATTAATTTACAGTTACTGTACATGGCATTGCTACATGACAAGAAATCATGCTAATTTCCTTTTACTGTGAAGAAATAAGCCTTTTAAGCCATTACACATACAGAACTTTTGCATTGTCTCCCTCTGTAACTTTAAAAGGACGAGGTTTACTTAAGGACTTTGAGCAAACATGAAAATGAAATGCATGTGTGTTTTTAGAAACATGAAGTGTTCAGATTTTGGATATTGAATCAATGGTTTTGGCAACATTTCTCATTCATGACTAACTGGGATACTCGAAAGTCAGCTCGTGTGGACTCACTAGCAGTGGAGGGATGTCCACTATTGTGGTGTATCGTGCCTCTAATCGAACCTCTATGAAGCACATCCCTGAGTGGGGCACAGGTGTGGCACAGAACATTTAGCTAATTGTTGTGTTCAGCTTGCCAGTCAATGATTTGAAGGTCTGGGTACAATGGAGAGAACTGTCACTAAAGTTTCTTTACAGGTGTACAGCATGTATTGTTTCCAATAGTGATCATACACTATAGGGCCAGTGACTTTCACAGCAGACTTCCTGTCACTCAACCCCGATGATGACAAATGCTAATTGGTATAATCAATGTAAGTCATTTCTTCTTAATAAAATCTCAACACACTTGCTACTAAAAGATTTTCCTTATAGTACCTGTAATAGTGAGGGGTTTGCGTGGACTGCCTGAGCACCGGCAGAGCGATTCTTTTCCTTAGCCAGGGAGTGAGCTGGGTGCCGGTGTGTAGTCGTCTCTTAAGGCAAGTCTTCTCCACTATATACAAGGAAGAAACTCTCCACTAATGGGAAAAATAATTGTTCAGTAGCCGTTTCGCTAGAACGCTGGCTCAGAGCTTGAACACCGTCCACTATCTTATGGGGATCTTAAATAGCAGACCTGATGAGTCTCAGGTGCTGTAGCTGCGCATTCCCATGTGCTGCAGAGTAGGGACTGCTGTGGAAGGTGTGCTCCATTGTCACATACCTCAATGAAATTGTTTTGGTGCTTAGTGTTTACTTAGATCCCAGGCTTAATTAACGTCTACGGAAAATGGGAAAGCTGACAGAATTGGACACAGAGCAGAGAGATGTCTTACTTTTTTAATTTACAATTATATGGCCAGAAGGAGACCCTAAAGTTTCTTTCACACCCTCTGCTCATGACTTGGGTTGCCAGTTTCTGTCCATGTTTACATTTCTGTTGCAGCTGACAGCCTTAAAAAAACTTTGACTTGCTCTTGTTGAATGGGACTTCACCCATGATTAGAATAAAAAATGTATACTTCATAACTATTTAACCAAAAATTGTCAAAAAAGACAAAAAATGTTTCTGGTCAGCTTGGATCACTGCGCAAGTGATGTTTATTCAATGGTGCTTAACCAGCTTGAAAACAACCCATCCCATCACTGTGACAATTTTGGACTACATTCATAAATTCAATTCATATTCCCTAAAATACTCCAGCATGCCTCATAAGGAAGAAACAACAGCAATAATTATTTCAGTTTGGTCTGAAGGCAAAGAAAAAACATTTTTTGTTTCTTTCTTACTCAAGTGATGGCTTTGAAGTAAGAAAAATTCCATTGATACTGTTGCAGGTCAAAGGGAGCAATGCAGAGGAAATTTCATTGGTATATTTAATTGAATTACCACAGTAGCCAGTTGGTCCATGGTTAACTTTATTTCTGGCTTCCCCAGAGAAACAGTTTGAAAATGCTAGTCTTAAATTTTAGTATCCTTTACCCTGTTACACTCTGACAGGTCTGAGAAATGCTGAAACACATTTTTTCATCACCACAAATGCCTTTAAAATTAAATTTTACAAAGCTTAAAAACATTTGTAAATGCTAGACAGCCTTTATGTGGTCAGCTGTTTGCTTGTAACTTTTTGACCAAATCACAGGTTGTTTACATAAGGCTCCTATGAATCATAAGAGTCAAAGTACAGGCATCAAGTATAACTGTGGGAAAACAAAATAGGAAAAAGTATAGATTGTCTATAAGGAGAAACCTAATTAGTACTTACATTAGAGGTGATTAAACAAATATTTTGTAAACAAAAACCTTGGATATCATCACAGACTCTGACTCAGTTGCCCCAATTGCAAACAAGTGATCTCAGATGAAAAAAGTAATGTTTTATTGTTATTGCCAAAGAATCCTTTTAGTTTGTTGTTAATATAAAAGGTACAGAGAATAAGCTGTTCTTGAAGGACAAATATGAGCACTTTACATTAGGTAATGAATTATCATGTACCATTTTAACTGGAGGATGTCCATTAAAACCTAGTTTCTTCTGCTAATGGTTGCTGAATTAACACTATTTTTCGGTTGATTAAAGAGCAAGCTGTTTCTTTAGTGGTTGGTGCCAAAGGTTCTACATGAGGTATTTGAGAGGCCTATTGTAGCTGGGGGTGACAATCTGTTTAATCCTGGAGAAAAAAAGGTAACTCATGTCACTCGTCAACTTTGGATGAAATCGATGGAAAGAAAGTGTCAAGTTGTCTCTTTCCATCAATACCATATAACTGGTAAAGGAATCTGAAGTTGCTCAAGGCTATTGATTGAGCATTAAAACCATTGGAGAGCAGCACTGTGATTGTCATGCTCATTTAAAAATGGCAAAGAATTCTTAAATCTGTGAGCCTTGAGAGAAAGGCAGGAGAACGTCATACTAGCCTGTCAAAATTGTTGAAAGTCTTTGTTGATCACAGTTTTGCATGATCTCATCCAGTCTTCCTGTTTTCAAAGCTCTGTTGTAGATGTTGAGGCCTTGGGCGCAATGTCAGCTTTGGTATCCTGGTAACAAGGAACTTGGCAGTTTTTTTTCATGCAAGGAATTTGAAAGACTCTCTTTCTCTGTGACCAAACCAACATCATTGTTGTATGTATTTAAGAATATGATACAGTAGAAAGAACATTTTTCATGACAGGACAACTTTCAGATATCCAAGCAGCCTTGAAACACTTTCAGTAGTTTAAAACTGGCATCCTTATAGGAACAGAGCAGACCTGGATTTAGGGCATGTTGCCTCTTTCTGCAGAAGTGAGAAGCAATGAATATTTTTCTTTCATATTGTGGCAGACGCCCCACTATAACAAATTAAGACTTTGTAAAACATCACAACTGCACATTTTGATATTAAAAACCTCTGCAAAAGACATACCCGTGTTAAAAGAACTAAAAATGTCAAATTAGAAATCTATTGAACTCATCAAAAAGGAAAGTACTGAAGAGAACCAGCGGCTGTTAGTATCACTGTGACCTTAAATGGGAAACACATAATTAGCTGGGCATACAAAATTCCCAGAGTTATTAAACGCCTTTCAGTTGGACTTTTTATTTTAAGTGCTTATGAAAACCAAATCATTAAATTTATCTCTTCTCTGACTCCTTCAGTCGGGACCCCTTTCTTTAATCCATAAGGTATCCATGGAAACAGTAGAGAATTAGATTTTCACATTTTAAGGCTAGATTGTAAAGGAAATTTAGAAGTGTAGCCATGGATAGAGGTACAGTATAATAATTAAGGTTCTGTATATTGGCTTTTAGGGAGCTCATCTCTTAAAATTATAGTCTTTGTCCTCACAGATGGCTGACCCTCAAGACAAACCAGTATTGTGAAAATTCCCATTCCCCCTCAACCTCCAAACCCAGGAAGTGCTCCTTCCTCATCGCCCAGGGACTTTTTGTCTCTCTGGAGGAGCTGCAATGCTGTTGTTTTTCAGTGGCCATGTCTACAACCATTCCTAACATGATTTCTTTTACAGTGAGCACGATGTTGGGGAAGATGACATCTATGACTGTGTCCCATGTGATGATGATGGGGACGATATCTATGAGGATATTATTAAAGTGGAAGTTCGGCAGCCCATGGTGAGAATAACCGTTAACATGAACACATTCTAGATAACGTGCATTTTATATTACATATGGATGTTTTGTACTTTTTTCTGTTCTTTGTACTACATGGTTGCCTTAACAAAAAAGCAAATAAATCCATGTGAATTAGATAAAGATTTGTTTTTATTAACAAGGGAGTTTAGTTACATTTGTAGATTTAGCTATGAAAGTGCTGGGATTCTTTGTGTATGAGACCTATAAATATGATTTGCCCTTATTCCACCTCACCCTTATTCTTGCAATCACAAGTTTGTCATCATTTATCCTGTAATACCTCTGTGAAAAGATTAATCTCAAGGTAGCTACTTAACATGTTTCTTTTTAAATTACTTAATATATATAATTTACAGGCTGAATACTAATATAATGTTGGAACCCATGATAATTATTTGCCTTAAAATTTCCTGAATAGAAATATGTGAAATAATTTATAGTGTATAATGCCTGTTGGAGTGTCTTTATTCACCTGTTACTTTGGTTTCTTTATGCTGCAGATCAGATATATGCAGGTGAGTAAAGCTGAATGTTCAGGCTTTGTCAGTATAATTATAAAAGGAGTGGATGCAGGATTTGACAGTTCCAGTCAAACTCAAGATACCCAACAACAGACTTGTTTGGCAGGACCTGGAAAGTTGTTCATAAAAATGGCTTATGCTAGATCAAAAAATTATTGTGCCATATTGTTGAAGGTTAATTTTGCTGGAATGGACACGAGCATGACAGTTTGCTAGCACTAGTGTTATTATGAATGGTATTGTTGGATTTTTGATGGATACAGATGACCCTGAAAGGCAAAATATTTTAAATGGTTCTTTACAAAAAACAAAAGACAGATCATGTAAGGCTTCAGTTTTACATTTCATCACTAACAGACCTAACTTTATTCACACAGAAAGGAATTTCTACCAATTTTATATTTATTTTTCTTCCAAATCTTTCCAAACAGGTCAGATTAATTCATAAGGCAAATCCTTTTTATAAGCCCTCTGTGTGACGAGCAGATGATCCAGCTGATGCATATGCTCCATTCAGTATATTTATCCATTTGAAAAATGGTTTATATTAACAAAAACAAAATCACGCAATGAACTCACTTTCATCTCCTTGGTATCAGAATAAATCCTATAAATACAGCTGAATGTGCTGGTCATTGCATCTGAGGTGTGATTTGTTTGGAGATAGGCATATAGACTAAGGCTTTTTTCCTGCAAAACACTGTAAATGTCACAACACATCTAAGTCTACTTCTGATTTCTCCACCTGAATTTGCTGCAATGGATAATTACATCTCATTCACTTGTTAGCATGAGTATGTACTTTCTCCTTAGGCATTGCTAGACATTGCATAGGCATTTAAAATTTAACGAATGCTTGTGGTCACATCACTCATTTACTGCTGTTGTGTATATCAAGATAGTGTCAGGTTAAGAGGACGCCACTACATTGTTCTAGAATTTGGATTTCAGTGTTTTTGCCCTGTTTTTCCTCCCTTGCTGCATTAGGTCTCTAATTTAAAAATTAGATTAAGGAAATTGGATTTATTTATGTCATCTATTCTGGAGTTTTTTATCTCAAAAATGAGAATTTTCATTTTCAACATTTTCTCATCAGATTTAGTGCAATTCACACCAAAAAGAACACTAAAAATAAGTTCAACCTGGAATCCTGGAGTTTATGATTTTAGATTGAATTGGTTTAGATTAAAAGCTTTTGTATACAAGAAAGCAAAATATTGTGTGCATTCCTTCATCTGCAACAATTCAAATATTTTGATATTCTCTTAACAAATATATCGACTTTAAATTTTAAAGCAGTGTTTCAGTGTGTTCTAAAGAGTAATGGGTGGTTCTGTAAGTAACAATGGACAAGGACAATCTACACCTGCTTAGTAAGGTTAATTTCCATTAATTGACTAAGGAACGACAGAGTTTTAATACCCAAACACTACAGGTTTATCTCAAGTCATATTTTGCCTGGGCTGATTTCATGCTCAATTTCTGTGGGGAATGTTTTGAGTGTGTGCTGATAAAATAGTCGATTAGCATGCTGTGTGTGTGGAGACTTAAAAGAACTATTGATTAATAGTGCAGCAAACTGTTATGAAAACCACCTTCATATAGTCAAGATTACAAAACAACATTTAAAATTATGAATGAAATTTCCTTAATTATTGCGTTTACTTAGTCATGTAAAATAGATCAGATGGCTGTTTGCATAACTTATATGTTTTTTTATCTTTTGGGCAGAAAATGGGGATGACAGAAGATGACAAAAGAAACTGCTGCTTGTTGGAGATTCAAGAAACGGAGACAAAATATTACAGAACTCTAGAAGACATTGAAAAGGTGGGTTTGGGTTCCTACAGTAGACACATGCAGTCACTGTTGTTAAAGAGAGATAAACTCAGTTTTCCTGCTGCTGGTTTGTCATTAGGCTGCAGTTTTAGATATTGGCAGGTTGACTGAAAAAAAAGAAAGAGCAGCAAGATCAATAGTAATGTTACTCGTATGATTCTGTTAAATAGCTTGAATCCCTGGGGCTACGTGTGACATGCACATACTGTAACCTCTGCCAAACAAACATTAAAATAATGGTGTAAAACCTATTGGACTACTCACTTTTAAAAGGAATTTAGCTGCTTAGGTTTAAAATCTCATATTTAATACTGACAGCCACCTTCAGTACTGTTGTGAAATACAGTATTATTCACATTTTAATATGATAATGAGAGGTTTTAAATTATTTTATCTGGTTTACCATGCAAATGTGCCAGTTATTTTATGAGCATTGAGTTCTATTGGTCTTACAATAGTAACAGAATGATTCTCTGAATCTGTAAAAAAGCAGTTCACATGTCAGCTAATAAATGTAACTATTTTCATTTAAACGTGAAAACTATTAAGTAGTATATATATACTGTATAACAAATCTTAGAATTCTGCAGTTTTTGTCCATAGAATGTGTTAAGAAATTGTCCATTGAAAACTTCTCTGTTGCATGAAATGAAAGTGTGCATTTCAGAGAGAAGTCTAAGATAAATTATATTCTTCTAAGTTATCTCTGAAACACAGAATCATCCCTGGAATTGAGAAAGCATACTCTTTGGGAAGATTAATTGCATGCCTCACTCTGTGGTACAAATATCCTGTCGGTTTGTGTCAGTTGTTTCATGATTTGTTTTGAGATGAGCAAGCTTGAACAGAACAATCTTTTTCCTGAGCACTAAATATGGACTTGGATAATTTTACTGCGGATAATCTCGATTCCCTTTCAAAGGTAGATAGACTGTACAGCAACAAAAGGATCCACTTACAAAGGAATTTGTAACCTCTTGTGGCTCAGCATTGTTTTCTTGTGTGTGTCTCGATAATAAAAGTGGCACAATTGGTAACAATTATAATAAAGTAAGATGTCACACTTTAGATTAGTGGATGGTTGCACATGCAAATATATGAATGGTTATGGAAAAAAATCGAATACTATATTAATCGACATTACTGGACATTAGTTTGATTAATGACAATGTTAAAGATATGAATTGCATCTGATAATGAAACCCTTATAATGATGAATAATGATGAAAACCCTGCTATAAACGAACACGTGTGAACACCTAAAGTAAACTGAACAGTATATGATAATGGTAACTTGCTTATAGGTTACTTGTAGATGAAAGATTTAGAACTAGAGTGATTTTCTAAAGGATTCTCTTTACCTATTGCTACTTCCATTTGTGTAAAAATGTGTTTTTAATATTGTTACTTTTTAAATGATTTTAAATGTTTGAGAGTGTTAATGGCAATAAATATTCATTTATTTATTAAGGATGAAACTGAGTTGCTCCATAAAGTTAGGGTCATAATATTGAGATCAGATGTTAGAATGTAATTTTTCACACCTCACTGAATTAAATAAAACAGATCAGCTTATGTCTAAGGCTCCACCACGGGAAACAAGTCTCTTTCTTACCGTTTTTAACATGCCTAGTTATATTACAAGAGCCTGACAAGGAGCAAGCTATCCTCAGTGTGAATAGCTGCTAAGACCCATAGCAACATTCATGAGTTGTCACCATCAATGTTTTATTACTGCTGCTCTGGATCAAAGTTTAAGAAACAGTTTAGGAACAGTAATTTCTTTACTTAAATAAAGTTGGATTCATTGGCATTCTCATTAACCTTTTTTAAACTCCTTTTTTTCAGAATTACATGATTCCATTGAAGCAAGTTTTAAGCCCTCAAGAAATGGATGCAATTTTCGTTAATCTAGAGGCAAGTAAATACAACTTGAAGGACTTTTTTTTTAAATGAATGCTCTGTGTTTTTTCACTTTCATTTCTGTGACACTATACATCCTTCCTGCTATTACCATTGCAAACACTGTGTGTGTTTTGCTGAATTTTTCCACATCTGCTCAAGGAGTTGTGTTTGATTTTGTGTTGTCACCTCCTTCCATGTAACACACTATCAACTGTGTTTTTCTTTGGAAACCCAGGATTTGATCAAGGTCCACTTCGCACTGTTGAGGGCTATTGACATGACAGTGGCAGCTGGGGGAAATGGGCTGGGAAAAGTTTTTCTGGACTTCAAGGAAAGGTAAAGAGTCTATAATATTCTTTGAAAAGCAATTTCTCTTTTATTTACTGTAATAAACAAAAATGATTGTTGAGAAAAGCAAATTGACAGTCATGTGCCCCCTTATACTATACCTAAGTGGAGTTTAATCCGCACTAGCCTATGAATCATTTTCCAATACAGGAGTGCAATGTAATATACAGTAAATGCTATGACTTAGTACCAATGCACAGTATATAATGTCATCTTCAGTATAGCAGATGCAATATGGTATATTTGAGCCATTTATCTTCAAAACCAGCCTGTCAACAGAATTTGCCATTGCGTACAATAAGTGCTGACAACCATGACCTGCTATACTGCTTTCAGAATGACAGAGAAAAATCTTCCCAGCCAATGATCGAACGTGATTCATTAACCATGTGAAAGGAGCTCACAGTAATGCTGTTTCCTTAATTACCATCATGTTTTAATTTAATAGGAGTACACCTGTGTCCAAGCAGCAAAATTTGTTTAAACATCAGGAAATAAATAAAAAGGCTCAGTAAAAGCTACCATTAAGTTAAAATAAACACAAATGTATGAGGCGCCTATAAAAACCAAAAGGTGAGCTAACTTCTAGATGAATGTGTTTTAAACTCATAGCAGATGACAGATTTGAAAGACCAAGGAGTAAAATTAAGAGCTCTGTTCAACAGTGTCCAAATACATCATGTAACATCAAAGGTATTAGCTGTATCTCTAGCAAGTTAAGATATTTCCAAAACTGAGTGGTAAAGCAGATCATCTCAGTAGAGGAAGGAAAGCAACAGTCTGCCCCCGTATCAACAGGAATCTTAATAAAAGCCGTTGGGAACCTTTATTGTTGTCCTTTTTCAAAGCAGGGAGATTCCTCAAAGGTACTCCGTTCTGCTCCACTATCTCCTGCATTTAAAAAGAGCCATTCATTTTAAATAGCTCATTCCATTGTATTAGGAACATTTGCAAGAAACGCAAAAAAAGAAACTCTTCCTATAGTCTTACAATATAAGAGTTCCCTATCTGATACTAGAAAATGTAAAGAGAAGCAGTCCTTCTGCGCAGCCAATGTGAATACACCATTAAGCAGTCTGGTTTTGACCTCCCTTGTCCATATAGAGTCTATTTGCCCTACAGCAGTGCAAGCCCTCTGTGTTAGATCTCTGCATTGTAGGATATAAAGGGAAACTGTGACCTTTTAGAACTCCTTTCACTAAATCAATAATGTAGAAAAACATCTCACTGAAGAAAGTTGCACCTCTTAGACAGGTAATATCCCTGTCTACTGTATACAGTGTACTGCCAGTGAATTTGGAGGAGAGATCAGTAGAAAAATAAGTTATACTCCATGATCCCAAAAGAGAGAAAAAGATAAATTAGTGCTCTTTTCAAAAAAGCAGTGAAGGTTAAATCTGAATTAAATCTGTTTCTCATTGTTTAGGGGAGGTATATCATCTCTCACAAGTTCACTTTACAGCACCACAATGACACCAATTTAGAAAGCTTTTTCATTTAATGCTTATCTTAGGCCTGTTTTCCTACACCACCTGCTGCTTCCCTGTTTGACAAACACTGAGTTGGCATTAAAGTGGACTCTCATAAAAATCAGAGCACAATGTCTCTTATAAAATAAGACCTTCAGCTTTGTAAGTGATTTCAATTACTGTAGGATTTCTTAAACAATCACTGAAGGCAGTGCTAAAGCATATTATTTTTAGCTTTCAAAATTAACTGTTTTGTTTTTGTGAAGCTTCCTACAATACTGGTTTAGGGATTCTACAGAATAAATTGAACTGTAACTACAGGAATGGAGTCTTTTATAGGCATATTTTAGTAGTTCTGCAGCACTGATTGAATTCACCAAGTGTGTGGAGGTTTCTGTTCCTACTGGGTTATACTCAATCCCATTGGGAATCCCAGGACAGACAGAATATATGTGAAAATAGGCAGGATTAAGTTAAAAAATACTAACATAAGCACAGGGTGATGAGCTTGGAGCAGATATAAAAAAGCCTTTACTTGCCTACATGTAAGTCTGCTTCTGTGGATCGACACCATGAGCTCACTTAAAACACTGCTGCTATCTCACTTTCTGGCTCCAGTCCTCCAGGGGACACATGGCCTTCTTTTCACTGAGCACATTATCTACCACTATACCACAGTGCTGAGTGTGCTGCTGTCAGATCTCACAGTCTCACATCCCAGCTCCAACCTGTAGCATGGCTGGAAATCAAAGAGAAACTTCATGCAATGTCCAATCCAGCTCTATATTCAAACTCTTCAAGCTCATAAAAGAATAATAATGGAATGGAATGTATTGGAATGAAGAATAGAATAGAGAAAATTTGAAAAATGTCTGTTTTCTGTGATTATATATTTAGTTAGAACAAGATTGCAGATTCTTATGCTGGTCTGGTATTATTCACAGTGCACTTTACCAGCTAGAATTGCGTGATGTTCTGTAATATTTGGGTTTCGTGTGATAATTCTAGGAGTTAGAAACAGTCTTCAGTTCAATGTAAACTTCTAACTGAAAAAGCTAAAAATAAACAATTGAGACATTTTATGAAAGATTTCCATATGTTTGTTTCAGATAAAAGAGAATAAAATGCTGTAAATGTCTGGCTTTGCTAGTTAATGCCACATACAATGCATTGCAGTTTTTAAATACTTATGGTTTAAAATAGTGGGTTCATGCTTGTCTTAGCACAAGTAATGATGATAATAGGGTTTGCTTCCTTACTAGTTATATATATATTAATGTTTTCTGCCTGGAATGTAAAATCTGATCCAGCACGTCTGACCACTGAGGACTACATGTTGAGCCAAACCTGGGCTGAAGAGGTTTAATTCCCTGCTCGGTATCAGCACTGTAGGTGTAGGCAGTCCTGTCTGTATCTGCCTCGTTGCAGGGGGGCTCTGATTATCGCTACTACCCCTGTGGGGATCACTCACACAAAAGCCAGAAGCTCTGGCTGTGTTCCCGAAAGATAAGCAGCTCCGTGTGTTTCCGGGTGCATAATTAAAACTCCTGCTTGTTTGTTTTGCATTTGCAATTGACTCATTAAAAATCTTTTTGGGACAGAAGGTCTGAACAAATGGGCCCTGGCAAGACAGATCTGTCCTGTCTGCTTTGGGAAAAAAAAGAAGTCGTGATCTGCTTGAGTTATCTTTTAATTCTGTCATTTTTGACTGCCAAGCTGGAATGACAGATCTCATTAGCTCCAAAGTCAGGCTGGTTAGTCCTTATATAAGCCTAAAATCTCTGTCATGATTCTGGGTCATTAGTATATTTTTAACTGTGAGTGCCATATTGCTAGCAGTCTTAACAGCTAGAAATAAAGAGTTATATTAATTGCCACCTTGACATTTTTGTACGCAAAATTAAGGATGTCAAACCTTTTATTTAGTTTTTCAAAAAATATAATGGAGGTTGTAATTTGTGTTGATTGTAAAACCAGTACAAAATGGGATCTGGAAAAAAAGGTGAGAAAGATAACAAAGTTATATATGTTTTATATGCCTGTAGGTCAGGGGTTGCATCATTTTTATGCATGATTTACATGATCTTTTTCTCTTGTTGATGGGCTTCTTGATCATGCTATTCACTGCACAGAAGCTGCATTGTCAGGGTCTGAAAACCACTTACTCCCTGTTCATATAGGCCATCACCTTGAAACATTAATTCTGCTGACCTTTTCTGTCAGTTAAGTTCTTGAGCAATGAATAAAGGAAATCCCCTGTAGTCCTTCAAGTCTCAAAAGTACCGAGTGCCATATGTTGGTAAATGCTAGTGGTTCACCACTTATGTCATTTATTTCCAGGTGTTTGTCTTTCTGTTGTTTATTACTGTATAGTGAATTTATTTTAGTCTTTATTTTAATATATCTTACAATAGGCTGTAACACACCATAAAATGGGCCATTTCCAAAACTATTGTTTTCCCTTGTGGATGTCTGCTTGGCACGGAGCATGTTTGAGCACGTTTGTTCTCAATGACTGTGGATGGATCGTGGATTGATCATCACCATACTTTAATTTGTCTGATAATGTCTTCTCCTGAATAACCATTTAATTTTAAACCCAGCTTCAGGTGGCATGCTCTGATTTTGCAAAGTGTGCTAAATATTGAACCAAATATTGTTATGTTGCTTGGTTTAGAAACCCGCTGATAAAAAATGACTACATTTCATTTCAAGGTTGTAAAAAAATTCATATAGAAAAATAATTAATTTGAATTATTAAAAATAAGTACATTGTTACCTCCAAATACATGTGAAATCTAACTGTAATGGAATATGATACAGTATGCATAACAGTCAGTTTACAAATCTTTGCATGCCATCACTTCTGTTTTGCCAGGAGATTGGTGAATGTTGTGCTCTTTTTGAGGTCAGAAAAGGGCATTTGAAATGTAAAAATAATATGCACGATGGGGTTCTCATAATGAGAAATGTGAAGCATTTGAAGTTGCTTGAGAAGAGAAAGAATTTAAATGAAGTTTTTCCATTGCAAGGGCACTGGGGCTGGACCTGAGGGATAATTCTGACTGAGCAGTTCCAGCCTTCGTGCTTTCCGTTCTGTCTAATATGCTAGCAGCAGGTCTCGTGTAAGATACGTGAATAACATAACACTTCCTAAAGACCAGCAGACATGCTTATTTATTTGCAACTTCTTACTATATTATAGTATTTCTTAACTAAGGTAATAGGAAGGATGTCTTAATGTAGTTCTAGTTGAAAGTCTATGCTTCTTCAAATATAATGCCAACTTTTACATATGAAAATCTACAGTGCACAGGGTTGCTGGTTATCCCAGCCTAAACGGTGCTGAAATTATGGAAATAAAAGCCATACATTTGTCAAGAGAGCCAATTAGAAACTTCATAACGAATAAAACCAAAAATGAATAATACAAGGGATCAAGTGCAGTAGGAGAACGGTACTTAAGAGCTGGGTCAGTCTTCAAAATAACTGAAGATCATATGTTGTCTTGTGAAAGAAACATTTTCTACAGTTTTTGATTTGTATTTCATAATTATAGTTGTATTATAGAATGAATATATAATTTAATAAAAGTGGCATTAGTTATTTAAAAGTCAATGTAAGAGGAAAATGCAAATTGTTTGTAATCATGGAGCTCCAAATGGGTGTCAGCAGCATTCATAATGCCTGTAAGAGCACTGCAGTCCATCACAACATCATGCAAAACACCCTGCAATGTATACTGTATGTATTGACTCAGCAGTAGAGTTCTTCTGATGGCCCTAGTGGTGTGATTATGAATGTTTTAGTTGAATTATAATTTAATAAGCAGCTCTTCTTTTCCCCAGAGTGTGAATATGTAAACCTCTGCTCCATATGCCATCAGTGTGACACTGACACTGACAGATGCTGACCATCTCTCCCACTTCTCCTGTGGGCCCTGAGAGTGAGAGTGCTCCACACATCCTCACGTCTGATTTAGGACTGGCTCACAGCTATATTAATACCTTTGCATTCATGCCCGTGGAAGAGCTTCAGGGAATGCAGCCACCCGTTTGCGGCTTGTTTGAATGGTTTATCATGAACCACAGGTGCATGACTGTTGTTTTCAGATTTTATAAATATTTGGTTATTATTTCTCACATTGGAGCAGCCGTCAGAGTAGTGCCACATCATTATCACAGTTTTCCCAGAGGAACCAAGCCTTTGTGTTCCTCTATTAGAGAGTCACAGTTCCACATCATTTATAAAGTTATTTACAAGTTGCAGCGCTTGTTAAGGAATTTAAATAAAAGCTGCTTAAATCTTCTTAAGTCTCTGGACTATTTTAGGTGTCTTGGCAGAGTTCCAGTGCAGTAATCAGACATACAGTATTCTACTTCTTCAACAAGTCTTCATCAAGGAATATTGAAGAGAGCTATTTGAGGTCTCAAAGCTTGGTTAGCCTCTAAAGTAAGCAGTAAGATATTATTGAAGAATATTAAGCCATTGTTTTGGAAACAGCCTTCAAACCAGAGAAGATTGTGTATTCTGGATTAACTTTTATTGAGGATTTCAGTTTCAATTATTTGGTAATAAAACAACATTTTGAATGGTAACATCGTTTGCCTGCAGAATACAAATTCTGCCGTTATCACTCATGCCGTTAACTGTTTAAGATTTCATATTTAGTGGGATGATCTCAAATATTTTCTAAATATTCTGTAAAACAATAAAGATCTGCCTTCAGAATTTAAAAGATTATTGGCAGGGACACCTGGGATTTCTTGTCCTAAGAAGCTAAGGAAGAAGGAATTTGTCATTTCTGTTTTTTAATCAGAATTATTGAACTGCAAATCATTTTATCATTTTGGATTAGGGTTTAGGGGTTAAATGGCTTTGTAAATTAACAAGGTATTAGTAGAGTGATATAAATGTTATAATAGCCAGCCCTGGCAAAAGATGAACTGAACAACTGTAACAAACCCTAATCCTGACCATAGGATAGCATTAGGTGTAATTATTTTTAGAAATGTTAATAACATATGAATAGATTGCTCTTGTTATATAGATATTATTATAGAAATATTATATAGAAAATATAATGATTATATACATTTTAAATAGCGGATATGTAGATGAGTTCATCCTCTGATGAGATTGCGCACACTGTCAGTTTTCTTTAGTACTGATTCACTTGAAACAAAATGACTAAAAGCCTTTTAAACTGGCATCTCATTTGCTTCTTTGCATAATCTCTATTGTGAGCTAAAAATTATAATCACCTTTCAAGTCAGATTTGTTCTACTTCTCCAACAAGGACGCACCAAACTTCTAGAGGGGGCTGACATTCACTGCTTGATCTGTAATTATTTGTGACTTTCCATGGCACGTGTATAATTATCTCTTTTGTTCTTGGCCTGTTGCTGTAGGAGCACAAAGGCATATATATTCCTTTGAGACTGAGTGTGCTTGAAATAAATCACAGCTCCTTTCTAATTAAAAACAACAACAAAGGATAGTTTTCAATCTTCTCCATTGCAGAATAGGAAAAGAAAATGGAACTTTTCAACAGGAAAATCTTGAGTCTACAGTATATTTTTGTTATTCACAATGTGTGAAGATAGATGTGGCAATGTTAAATTAACTGCCGTATCTTTTTTCTTTGTGTTCTTATTATGAGGAGTTTTTTCTCATGAGCAGCTTACTGTTATATGTGATCGGAAAAAAACACAAGCTAATGTTAAACCACTCAGTTTCTTCCACACTCCCATTGTAAGCACTAGTTATCATTTACATGTGCTGATAGTTTTCAAGAGACTTGAGTTTATTCCTATCCAGGGCTGTTTTTGAATAGCAGGGTCAGGTGCTAGCGTGTGAAAAGTTTAATACATGCGATATGAGCTAGGAGACAGCAGAGTAATTCATAGTGGCCTTCACCCTCAGAATGGAGAGAGCTTTTAATAATTCCTCATGCTCAATGACACCTATGCTTGTGAAACATGAAATCTAATCAGGGATATAGTGTTAACATTTTGGACAGCATTTACTTATCGGCAGGTTTTGAAAACACTTCTCTCAATCTGTCATTACAAGTGAAATGGAGAAGATGTGGTTGTATTCAGAGTCTAGGTTGATTGAGTGCTGTAGCTCATTCACGTAATATATCAAATGGCTACAAGCTGAATTGTAAGTTATTTTCTAGTTATAAATAATATTGAACTCCATATTGAAAACCAGATAAAACAATTCTGATGACACTTTGTGATGTTAAACGCTGTCCCTTTCAAGAGATCTGATACATCCCTCAACACACCACAATCGGCACCATGTTTGCAGGCACAACACGTAACATTCAGAGTGGGTCCCTCTTAGCTTTATCTGAGGGGATTTTGTAGGTCATCTTTAATAAAGAGTACTTTTTCAGTTTGTGGGTAATACTTCCTCTTGTTCACATGTTTTTACTTGTTTATATTATTTCACTCAAATGTAGACAACTTTATCAGGATTTCTCTTGGTTTAAATTAGCTGTAATTTTGATCTGTCAATTGTGCTGGTATATTTCCACAGGCTACAGTTTAATAATGTAGCTACCTGCTTAGTTATTAGAATACAATTACAATTCTAAAGAACTGTGGTAAACACAGTAATGGTCTACTCATTGGCCTGGAAGTAGCAAAAGATTAACATTGTAAACAAATGCTTAGATGGCATTCAGATTCTTATGAATTCACATCAAAAATTTAAAATGTGTAGTATATTTTATGTGTAAATCATATGTACTTTTTTATCCAAGGTTTTTATGGTATTCCATGTTAAAATGTTTGTACAATTTAATTCATTCAGCATACCTTTTATTGTCTAAAATTGAAATCATCAGTACCGTCAATACAGTAATAATAATGAAAATACTTTTATTAAGTAACAGTTTTACATATTATTTCTCTGTGTGATTCCATCTTAAAAGATCTGGTTCTTTCTTTCATTGCATCATTGAACTGAGTGCTTCTAAGTTGTGGAACACAGCATCTATGTTCACATTTTGTATTCAGCAAGATAAAAATAAGAATTGAAATTTCCTCAAAATAAAAAGCTTTTTGTTCAATTATTATATATTTTTACATTATTCCATTAATGTTCAGCTAATTCTGCATGAAAGAGAAAGATAATATCTAAAAATCATCAACCCTTAATTAGGCCCTTATGAGCCTGTCTGAAACAGACTGTGCTCAGCTGGGTGCATGGTTCTGCAGGAGAGATAGCACAACCTGTCAATTTTAGGCCTGTTATCCACCCAGTGGGTAATCAAGAGAAAGTAATTAGGCTACCTAAAAACTCAAAACATGCAGATTTGAAACCTCCACTTCTGCATTCCTATAGTTCTCTCCCAGTATGCTACTCTACATGGTCAGTGACATGGTTTCATTTCACCTTTACCTTTTCTAAATGACCTTGTTCTATTGGTCTGGAAGTTTACTTACTCCTATGGTCATCATTTTACAGGCTACGGACATCTCATGAATTATATAATATGTATTTAGTGTGAGAGAACTTTTGTGCTTCAGAGCTACAATATCTTCTGCTTGTCCATTAAGGCCTAGAGTTGTTAAAAAGATATGGAAATGTTATTTCTCTACTGCACCATCATTTTCTTGACTCATTCGTACTTTAGCATTATGCAAATTTCCAAATAATTTTCAGTTCCTGTTTTATTATTTTTACGTACATTTAGCAACATTTCATTTTCTGTTTAAAAACATAACTTTTAACCTTAACTTTCAGCTGTATCATGCATCACTTGTAGCCAAGTAATTCTGGTCCTTTCTATTTCAAAGAAAAATGCTACACAATGCCAGTCCACTGAGTGGTATAGAAGCTTTCTCCTATGTCTGATCAACTAGATTAGTCAGAAGTAGATGCCAGTCAGTGCAGCAATCAAAAGTACTGGTGCAGGCTTTTGAACTACTTTCCAGATTAAAATCTTGTCAGTGGATATACTCCAGCTTCTGATGTCCTTGAAACTTTGCATAAAATCAAGACACTCTGAAGAAGAAAAGAATAACTTTGGAAGTAATTTAAAACTAATGGTTTAATTTGGAAATGGATGATGGCTTTCAGTATGGTTACTCTGCCCTTTTTCTGATCTTGTCCCCATTTTCTAAATGAGAGGGAAGGTTTCCAGACAAGTGTTTCACATTACTGTTTTTGTTATACAGGCTGCTAATTTATGGGCAATACTGCAGCCACATGGAAAATGCTCAGAAGACTCTGGACAGCCTTATCGTGACACGTGAAGATGTCAAGATGAAAGTGGAGGTAACGTAACTTTTTTATAGTTACAAGAGAAATACATCTTAAGGTTACACTGCAGCAAAGGCACTTCATTTGGAAACCAACCTAAAATTAAACTGTGTTTTCAAAAAGGATAATGTCATTTTCCAACACACCTCAGAAGTGTATGGTTACCTGTCACTGTTTTATGACAGGATGCATTTTCTAGAGTCTGAAAAGTTCGGAACTTATTGCAGCTTTTGCCAAATGACATTAGATCAAAGGTGTGCTGTCGTCATGTTCACCAGCTCTCATCTTGAAAGCTTTTATGTGTTTTTAGGAAGTCAAAGTTATTGATTGACTATGTAAAGAGCATTTGGAAAGTACATATATTTTGCAATGTACATATCCAGTCAATGCATTTGAAATACTACAGGGATCGTCTTGTATCATCACCAGATAATCAATGTAGCTCTGACCATGAGACCTCTCATTAAAGCATAGTAAGTGGGCAACAGAGTGCTGTGATTCAATTCCTCACATAGCCACATCAGTAGGCATGCAAGGGTGAAAAGTGTTCCTGAAATGAATGTGTGGTCTGTCGCAGTGTGTTTGAATAGGAGCTGACCTTTACAGAGCCCTTAAGAAATGGTTTTAATGATGTTCCTAGGCATGGGAGGCTAAGTACAGCTATGAGTGGTGTGACCTTTCAGACAGGAGATTGGATCATTCATGCAGGAAAACGAGTTTGTATTAGGGACATTGCAAGTTACCCAACTGCAAACTCTTGGTTTTGTAGGTGTTAAAGGATGATGATCTAATCAGAATATACAGTATGTCTTTATCAATGTCACTTCTAAAAGTTCTAAAACAGTCTGCATGAATAATTTGTTTAACTCTCTGACCTACACTGGCTGGATATTTCCCTTTATGTAATAAAAATCCTATTAGAATAATATTATGTAAAGTCTGAAGACTGGGTCAATAACACTAGCTTCTGTGTAATAAAGTCATTATTGGATAGTTACGATCTGTCTGGTACCAATAGATTTCCACTCTGATGCTGTAAGTGTGATAGGCATGAACATAAATAAGACTTGAAATGACATCTCAGAGCCCAGAGCTCAACTTGACACTCATACACATATATAAAAGTAAAATCTCTAGTAATTATGCCAAATTATTAACTTTCAGCTCTTTTCAGTCCTGTCAAATCTAGTTACTGTATACTGTACATGTAGTACAGTATGTATTTCAAAGTTTGTCCTGTACTCCTATAACTCCATCCAGAGTTGGGGAGAATTGCTGTATGCTAACTTTTACATTAACATTTTTTTCACATTTCATTTTTTTGCATTAACATGTCTTGTGTGAAAAAAACTACAGCTTAAAGTTTACACTGGCCATTTAATTTGTTCGGCTCTCTGAGTATCAGCATAAGATGACTATGGTGTAATTTTAGTAAATGTATCATTACACAGTCACTACCTTTCTAAAATTATTTAGAGACATGTGCGGTGTCTTACATTGTGTTTTTTTATAACAGACTACCAATTTAAAGCTTTGATCAAGGGAAAATGTGGGAATTAAGGTTTAGGTACAAACTATGAGTGACATTTCTGGGACGACAAGATTTTAGTCCACAGGGACCATTAGCTTACCAGTATTTCAGGAACAGAATCTCTCCATCCAGTATCACACTTCAGAAAAGTCATAGCACTGTGGTAAATTCTTATTGAGATTACAAAGGATAATATGCCTAGACACTTCTTTTTTAAGATAATAAGGATTTCCTTTTCTTTGTTCACATCCACAGATTAAACCATGTTTATTTGAATATTTTTTCATCTAAGGGTAATCAGCAATTACAACATATTCACTTGAGGACTTATTTCTTCTCCATTGTGCAGATAAGGACTCTCTGTTCTTTTGTGGATTGTGGAAGATTATAATTATTACATAGGGTTTAAAATGTTGCAAAATCCACTTGATAATTGCTGGGAAGTATGTTAATTAAGAATTGGTCTAAATGAACACTGGGTTTTGTAACTGTGACAAAGTATTTTAGTGATTTTCACTCAGTAGACTCAGATTGACAGACAAATAATCAATCCTAATGGATAATTGTGATTGGCACAAAACAAAATGGACAATGCAGCACCAGGGCCATTGCAGGGGGTTGTGGACTGTACCAAAACAGACTGAACAGGCAGAACAGTACAGAGGAAAGAAGAGAAATGAGAAGGAGAGCAGAGGAGAGTTCAGCCTGCAAGCCTCAGACGAATGCAAACAACATTCTGAAAAGATATTAAATTCATAGAAAAGGAAATTTGCTTTTACTGTGGGCCCCCTCTCTTGTGTGTGAGTGGATGCTCATGGATCAGTGTGAAAACGGTAATCTTGAGACACAAGAACCAGATTTTTCTTTTGTTATTAAATGTTTCTAAACTTTTTCCAGAAAATCAGGAACAGAGTATAGGAGTGCCTGTTCTGAAGGACTATTGGGAAAACTAGAAAACTGGACAAAGGTGATAAATTGGTCTGGCTTAGACCAAAACCTGATCACTTAAGATCAGTTAAGAGTTGCACACCCCTGGTGTAGGGAAATCATTGAGTGGAGTGATAATAAAACATCAGGAAATGTCTTTAAAGGACTGGAGAGAAGGGAACAGCATGCTAAACATCCCTGAGAGCTTTTATTACAAAGTGCAATATCTTTCTGTCACTCATAAAATCTGACAAGACGATAATTATAATTTAGCCTTCATTGACACTTCTTGTATTTCATTTATTGCTTTGTTTTTATTTCAGGCTGATGACAATAGCTTTGTATTTGATGTATCATCGTTGGTCTTTGTTCCCTTGCAGAGAATGTCAGTTATTTCGCAATGTTTCAACACTGTTTTATATGAAATTGCTAGTAAAATGATGGTTTGGACACTTTTTTAACACCAACAGCATGTTTCTACCAGTTTGGGTGATGAACACCTAAATTAACATGTTTTATCAATTGGTATTTGAAATGAAATATTCTTCCAAAGTGCCTTTTAGAATTGCTTTTACGTATGTTTTCAAGTTATACTTTATGAGACGGTTGTGTTTCAGAGAAGCTTATAAAGAAAATATGTAAGGTGGGATGGGTAGGGCCTTTGAGCAGGTTTGAGCAGATTTGATTAGTGAATACTCTCATAACCGTGCCGTTTTAACTGAGTATTCCAGCTATAGCTGTGTACAACACTTTTAAATTGAGATAATCTCCTGTAGAGAACGATATTGCATCTAGGTCCAATGCAGATCGCTAGGTAAATAAACCAGAAATTAATATAGTTCAGTACAGTACAACTATGGCTACATTTGTAGTATTAGCAGTTGTATTAATTATTATTATAATGATTTAAAGCTTTAAAGGTTCACATGACATTTGTCTTGTATACAGGAATGCACAATGAAGGTCCAGGAAGGAAAGTTTAAGCTCCAGGATCTGCTAGTAGTTCCAATGCAAAGGGTATTAAAATATCATCTCCTGCTGAAAGTAAGTTCATTAACTTTATAAATCTTGTGAGAATAGCCCTGTTTAATAGGTTAGGTTAGGTCTTCTATACAACTGTTTTTAGCTTGGTGTAACAATCATCCACAATTCCTTCAGTCTGCAGGAAAAGAAACTAGATTACAACTTCAGATGGTTTTACACATTAACAAAATATGGTCATCTGAGATTTGTTTGTTTGAGTGACTTTAAATATTTCTCATATATAAAACACCTAACCCGTATGACAGAGGATTATTTGCGAAGGCTCGAGTAATTAAAAGAAAGTGAAAGAGGGGGATTCCAATGGAATTCCCTGAATCAGGACAGGAATCCACTGACACTCCAGACTTCATATCATGAGTACTGGGAGCCCGGGAATATCCTTTGTTATGTTTCTCAAAGTGCAATAAACTATGCATTGTTTGGAATACTTAGTTGTTTTCTTTTAAATCTGTAGTGTTTGTTGTAGTAGAAATAGTCTAGTCTTGGGTTCTTCCTGTAAGGATTTCTGTATTAATATTGAGGTTTCCTGTTTGTCCAGTGTTGATTGATTTTTTTTAAATCTTAGCTTTTTACCATAACATTTAACATAAAAAACCCAGGTGTAGTTTTAAGACAGCTTTAAAATGATGACACTGTCAGAAGAATTACAGAGGTAAATGCAGTCAGCCCACTTGAACAAGCTCTTGTGTTAAAAATTTTAAAATTAACTACTTTCACAATCTAAAATATGTATTGTTCGCTTCTAAGCGTCTCTGAAAAACTGCACACTTTGCCTTTAGTTCAATCAGCTGTGCTTTCAGGGGTGCTGGCTGAAAGAGTCCTGTTTTCTTCCCATTTCAGGAGCTGGTGGGCCATTCTGCAGACAGGCCTGAGAGGCAGCAGCTGAAAGAGGCTTTGGAGGCAATGCAGGTGAGCCTGTGGGAAAAAATCCCACTACAGAGGCATTACAGCCTCTCCTTTTCGAAAGCACTAGGAGGTATGAAAACAGGGAAAGTAGGTGTACAGGTAAGTACCTGGTAATTATCAGACAAGCACTAATTCTAAGCCTGTAGAATGTAAATAGCTGTAGCCACTACTGAAAAGGTCTTCTGAATTAGTTCTGAATGAGGGCGGAAGACAAAGGGGACATTAGATGCATGTAAAACACTAACTTCTTTAAAGGTTTAAGCTTTAAAACATTTTTACAAATGCTTCTGGTGTAGATTAGCCAATTGTAATAGTGAATGTGCAACCGGGTTTGTAAAAAAACGACCAGAGAGTAGTTAAATATACTGAAACCTAGGTGCGTCTGACCATTTGGACCACATGTCAAAATTTCTCCTGGATCCATAGAAAACATTGAGCATGAAACTGGCTAAAGAGTTTATAACACGCACTGTGAACTCTTCTGCTCCAGATGTAAAAAAGAACAGAAAGGGCGCTCAGGAAAAAGGTCATGGAACATGTTCAAACCAAGACTGTTTTGACTGCATCTAGTATTGTGGAGAAAATTGAATATGCACTTTAGTGCTGACCATTGTCAATGCTCAGTCTGAACAAATATCCAGTTTTCCACACAGCTTACAAAGACTCTAAACGTGATAAAGCTTCTTATGGTTTCAGGCACAAAATGAAATTGTCAGGAATTGAAGGGGATTGATATAGGATGGATTTTGCATTCCAGTGTTGCATGCCCAAACATTCCACAGCACAGTTCAGAGTATAGCAGGAGATTGTTCGAGGGGATAGATTATAGTGAGCTCCTAAAATCTGGCTGATGTTAAATGAGGCTACTAGTTTGAACAAAAATAGAGCCTTGATTGTGTCTCACACCTGCTTGTACCTTTCATTTAAACCAAACATATTTTTAATGGAAATAATAAAAAGATGAGAATGGTATCCTTGAAATAAAATAATGGATTTTGTCGCATTGGTTACTCATGAGCTATACACAGTACAAGCTAGGGGTGATTACACAGTCAGAGTAGAAAACCCATGGGTCCGATGACAGGTCCATCAGAGTGGAAATGTTTCAAGAATTCACTAAGCTTAATAGCATATGGTAGTAGAAATTAGCAATGAAAACATGTTTTTTAAGTTATTTTGTTAGCATCTTATCATCAGTGGTGGCTTGAAAACGAAAGGGCCTTACATTGAGGTTAAGCAATATGCTCTTGTTATGGGTAAACAGTCCAGTACCTCTGTTGCCCCTCATACATCCACTCCTCCCATTCACATTGAGCTTGTGACTTGCAGACAATGCACTGTTTAAACTGTACTGTCCGGGTTTAGGAAAGCATCAGCATACATTGCAGGGTGGTGTTCTCCACTTTAATCATAGCACAGGCATTGGCCGTCTGTCTCAAGCTTGCTCCCACAGATGCTCAAGGCCCACAGCCCAGCACACCTTTATAGGTCTGTTTAAGACCTAAGATTTTTTTTATTTATTTAGTCTTGCCAGTTAAATAATTAATCCTAATGGGTAATTAAGTGTGCAGCTGGAGTGCAAGACAAATAACCCTGCATCCTTTCTGGATCAAAGGTGGGCACTCATGCCCAGGGTTTAAAATCAGCAGTGGACTTTAGGGAGCTCCAGCTCTAGGACTTTCTGAACCTTCTCATGCCAATCCGCAGAGTGGGAGCTGCTTTAAAGATACATACATATACTGTACATAAGTATATATGTCTGAGATGTTATAACTTAAGGAGACATAGAAAAATGACTGTATTTCAGGTTGAACTGGGATTTGAAAAATAGTACACTATAACTATTATTACGGGTACAGCCCGGGTGTTCTGTTGTCAGTCACATTACAGGCAGTAATGTGTATACTGCTCCATATGTGTGGTTCTCAGATCATTCCAGCGTTACAATAATGGAAAGGTGTGAATACTGTTATAAATGTCTATTACAAATAGAGACTTACCTGTTAGATAGAATTGCCACCTTGAGTTAAAGAAAGTGTCTCTCCATCAAAAATGCTCATTTAAAGTGGCAACATTAGAGAGGCCGTGGAAGAGAATTATTAACAGGGACTTTATTATACTGCTGCATGAATTATTACTTAATCTATTTCTGTTTTACTTCCTTCAGGACTTGGCAATGTATATCAATGAAGTAAAAAGGGACAATGAAACATTAAAGAAAATCAGTGAATTTCAGAGTTCTATTGAAAACCTGGTAAGTGTCATTTGGTTGTCATACAACAAAAGGCATAGTCATCAATAGCTAATCGAATGAGAATTACAGTAGTACAAATTCAGCTGCTGTTTCTTGCTGTCCAAGTGTACACATGAATAGATGGTTGCTGGTTTAATTAGCAGTTTACGTCAAAATAACTTCAAGCGTTGAGATGATTTTGAAAAACCAGGCTTGAAAAAGTTGTCCGGGTCTCTGACTGGCTGCCTTCAGTTTTAAAATTGTCATGCCTTTTTCAAATTTTGTGTCTTTGTCTACCTCTCTATTCCTATTGTTTCCTACACTTCATGGTTACAAACAGTCTCAAGTCTTCTCCAAACGGAGGCACCGCAGTGTACTCTCATTGTAACCGAATTACTGGCTATGTCTGGAAATACAGTTATTTTTGTTTAGGATCTGCTGTACAATATACACAACAGTGTAGTTGGTCTATATCTATGCTATTTATTCTGATACTACAAGAATGTGTTTATGTTCACTTACCTCACACAAGCCTTGTTGGTCCTTTTTAGCCTCACATGTCTGCAATATTCCGAATTGCAATGAATAATTTACCATCTCAGCGTAATAAATAACACCACAGAAGAATATTCTTTAAATTGCATTGAATTGAAAATGAGATTCCTGTTGCGAATACTTCTGCCTGATTGTTATGCATATGAATTATCATGTAATACTCAGGATTTTAACTTCAGATGTTTTTCTTTGTATCGCAGTTATGCTTATTTTCTACATTCAGACACATGTAATCACTTGTTTATTGCTAATTTCTTCTTTTTGTCATAGTTTCAAAAAATCTAGAATGTTTGTCTTACATCTCAAGACTGCCAATAGGTTTTTGGCTTAGAATTTACAGCTAGATTTTAAAATTCAGGCCGTATGCTCCTGGAATTTGTCCTGGCTCCTGAGTCAGAGTTCATCTCACACTTAAACTCAGCACTGCTATAAATTGTACACAACAGTGGAGCAAAATGTCTTTTTTGTTCAAATAGCATGTGAAACTGGAAGAATATGGGCGGCCAAAGATAGACGGAGAGCTGAAGGTGTCCTCTATAGTCAACCGTACTAAACAGGACAGGTAACCGAAATAATTCACCTGGTCATTTGTATGTGGGGGCTCTTATTTCCAAAATTTGTGGTGCAGTATATTTGTCGGTTTTGTACTTGCATGCAGTCATCAGTTACCTCCACTTGACTTCTTCAAAATGAAATAAACAAAAGAAAGCTGAAAAACAGAAAGCAAATGACATCTCTTCTAGTCCTATCCTAAATTTGGCGCTCCTGGTATTTTTGAGGTGTTATATAAAGGTGCTACAACTTGTAATATATTTGAGGCAAGTTGGCCTTTGTTCGTAATTCCCATGAGGGAGTGAAAATGTTTGGATTTTAGCCAAAATAGGTGTTAAGACACCCCTTCTATCCCTATTATCTGGATTTTCAGAAACAGGGTTTAATAACCCTGCTGATGGTATGTCTGGGATGTCCAGCCTATGAATTCTGACCAGAGAGAGAAGGTTCTGCAGGCCAGTGTTGCTCCAGATCAGCAGTCAGCCGTGAAATGAGTCGCTGGTTCTGCCACTGTGATTCATGTGGGCTGCTATACCTGCTCACACCTGTCAAGACAAAGGAGGCAGCATGTCCTCTCTGAACTGTCAGTAATGACCTTTAGAAAGAGGAAAATAGTCTATAGCCACCCAACACCTTATGTACTGTAGCAACTTTCAAGGTTATCCATATCATAATATGAAGTAGTTCAGGTGGGTAGCTGCGTCAGCATGCGTAGGCTGCAAAGGAACAAGTAATAGGTTTATTCTATGCTGAAAAGAGAAGAGAGAAAACATTGTTTCAGCATGGAATAAGCTTATTACTTGTTCCATATCATAATATGTTCAGAGAATAAAACTAAACTTGTGAGTGTTACCTTATACATAATAATGTGGTCAAACCAGTGCTCATATGTGGAACAAAAGGAAATCCCAGCTCAGAAATATCATTACTTGGCATAACTATACTATACACACAGTTTCATGTTCATTTTAGTTTGAAAATGCTTTTGAGTATTCACAGGGAATGTTTCAGATCTAATTGAAACACTTTACTCATTGTGGTTGATGTTCTTCATTTGCACAGGGAACTCTTATGTGGTTTATACATTTTTGTATTGCTCTTGATCTGTCAAGTTGCGATCCCATCAAAGTGTAGTGAACCTCGATGGTTCCTGGAAAACCATTCAATCAATTGGAGGACTTTGACAAATGCTCCCATCTGCACTTAACAATAAAATTGATGACATTATATAAAAAGCTATCATTTAGATGGTACACACAGTCACACTGGACTGTGCTAGATGTCCATCAGAGAGCTGTATTTAAGCAGGGTAAGATAATGCTGGTGAGGCTTTGTGAGAAGTGACAGTAATTCCAATGTAATCACATTCAGAACTCTCTGACCTTCAGCTTCATCAGAAACCTCAGGCACTGGTCATATACATGACCTCTGAATAATGTCTATATTGAAGTTTTAAATAATTTGGTTTACTGTTTATATTTTTACAGACAACAGATCAGTTGCTTGCAAGTCTTAATAACATAGAGCTGACTTCACCATCGTTTTTTAAAACAAGATCTTATTTTAAAATGTGTAAAAAAGTGTGAGTCTATCCTGATACATAAACAACAGCACATATATATTCTGCTGGCTAGTTCAGTCTCAGAAAGTGTATTAAATGCTTCATTGTTGATTTTTGAGAGAAAGTTTGTTTACTTGGTAGCAAGCTGCAATTTCAGTGCAGTTAGTATTTTGCATCAGAAGAACACAAGAACATAAGGCCGCAATCGGAGATGGTCCTGTGGTAAATTTAGCCCATTTGGGAAGAAACATCAAAGAGACCATTCACATCCTACCACTAGATCAGCGAGGCAGCCGCATTATTAACATTATCATGTTCAAGTGCAGGCAGCAGAGTGGTTAGCATTGCTGCCTTGCAGTGCTGGGGCCCTGGGTTCTAGGGTGGGGTTTGTATGGTGTCCCTGTATTCATATGGATTTCCTTGGGGTACTATAGTTTCTTCCCACAGTCCAAAGACATAACGGTTAATTGGCTTCTGGGAAAATTAGCACTGGTGTGAGTATGTGCCTTTCTGTGCCTTTGTGTTCCCTGTGTAGGATAAAGCAGTTAGAAAATGGATGGAAGGATGGACAGATGTTAAAGTATATCATGGAGATGTTGCAGATTAGTTCATTCAGTACCCTACCTGTGTGACTCTGATCGTAGTATCCTGAAGTGCTGCCCCTGCGGTTCTGCAACTCAGTTGAGAAATAAAGCTTATTTTTTAAATAATGGATTCAGACAGACCTACAGTAGGAATCATAGGGGTTTGTAACCATTTCACTCTTTCACTGTCAAAAAGTAAAACACTACACATTTTTTTTCATAATTCATCATTTTAATTCATCCAGTTTAGAACGATTCTTAAACATGATAAACAGAAATCATCTTGTTCGGCTTTGAGATATTGCAATCCAGTGGGTTCAACAAATTATTAGATGTGAGTCATAGTAGTTGCCCTAGTTTTCCTCTGGGGGAAGTTAATGTCTTGTACGAAGTGTGTAAGAAGATCCACCCCCTGTAAAAATCTGAGTCTATGACGTTTAACTTGTTCCTGTTTCACCTTTAGGTATATATTCCTCTTTGACAAAGTGGTAATAGTCTGTAAACGGAGAGGATACAGCTACGAACTGAAAGAGATCATTGAGCTAATGTCTTACAAAATGACAGATGATCCCATGAACAACAGAGACATTAAAAAGGTAAGGTGACGTGAAATTTGAAATTTGATGTGCTGTCAAATCCTTCTAAACTATTATGAAATAAGAATTATCATCACAAAAAAGCACCACTTTAACTGTGCCTACTAAAAAGAAGCGGTAGTGCTGGTGTCTTCATATTCTAAACTTTTTTGGCACATTCTCAAAACCTATACAGAATATTCAAAAGGAAGATAAGCCAGTACAGAAATTTCAGAACTTTAATTTTACTTCCTGTGCAAATTAGTTTTTCTGTGTATTCTGGTACAATTAAGTTTGTTTCTCTTGTTTTTTCTTCATGCTCACTAGTCAAGTGGAAAGATGGTAAGCTGCTATAAAATGTTTCACAATATCTAGATTGGCATATACAAGGTGCATATTCAGCTGTAACATAATTGGTAGAGTGTGATACCCAATGCTGAGTCTCTCTCCTTGTCATTTTGCCAGTGGTCCTATGGGTTCTACCTGATTCACCTTCAGGGAAAACATGGGTTCCAGTTCTTCTGCAAGACTGAGGACATGAAGAGGAAGTGGATGGAGCAATTTGAAATGGCAATGTAAGTCTAGAGAACCCAGGCAAATTAGATACGTTTACCTGGCTTTAAGGGCAAAAAATTAGGATCAGGTAAATTAAAGAATTGGGAAAATGCTACCAGTGAACTGTATGTCACAAGAATCCTTTTCAGAGCTGTATTTTTGTTCTACCAGGAAAAACTGAGATACTGTTTGTCTTTTTCATTGTTGCTTTTATTCAGCTTTGCTTGCAAAATATCCTGTGATGTTCCTGTTCCTACAGTATAGAGATATGGCACAATTGTGGAATCACTGGAATCAGAAAGCTTTGCAATGTTACTTCACACATTTTTCTTTTACAACCAGCTCTTTGTACTGCATATACAGTAGAAGCAATACACCGTATGAAAGATTTGAAACTCTAGAATGCTGTCAGACATGTCATCTTTACATCAAATCATAATGCAGTGCTGAGTCTATTCTGTCCTCTTCAGCTCATTTCCCCGTATACCAAATTCTTTTCATTTAGCACTGCTTTTGCTCCTGTGAGCTGCAGTGCTCACAGCTGTGGATGTTCAGGGTACTGAGCTTTCTATAGTAAATTAGGTCCCTGATGTACTGCGTTTTACACCATTTTCCAGTAAGGGCATCAAGACAATGGTGAAATATGTGGAGTGGGATTTGTTCTTTTGTGGTCATATGCAAACCATTTACTTTGCATCTCAACAATTTTAATATTAGGACTGAATACACACCAGAAAGAGAAAACGGGGTAATAACAGAAATATTTGTGATACTCTGCTCATCTCCAGGTCAAACATAAAGCCAGAGAGGGCCACAGCAAACCATCACAATTTCCAGATGCACACGTTCGAAAAGAACACCAACTGCAGGGCCTGCAAGATGCTGCTCAGGTGAGCTTTGAAAGGGAAATCTGGGATCGTTATTTATAATGGTCCTAATGGGTGCTTACTTAATTACCCATTAGAATTAATTATTTAACTGACAGGAGTGATTCAGTATTTTTCCAAGGTCTTAAACACTTGTAGAATTTTGTTTGCTCCCACACCAGAAGTGTTTTCATTGCCCTGATTTTTTTTTTGCACTTTGCCTCATCAGTCGTGCTTTTAATTTATTTTGCAAATACTGTACAAAAGTACTGGCATGCAATTACAACATCTATCCTTCTTATTTATCTTCACCAGAGGAATTTTTTATCAAGGTTACTACTGTTCCAAATGTGGCACTGGAGCACATAAGGAATGCCTGGAGGTCATTACAATATGCAAAATAAGTAAGTGCAATATTAAACTACATTCTTCAGTGGCCGCAACTACATAAACAGTGAGGCTCCCTTCTAATTTATTCAGTACATTTAGTACAATTTCTCTCACATACTATTAGCTTTACAAGAACTTTAACTTTTATTTTTGTGCAAAAGCCTTCATTTTGCTGTTTTCCAGAAAGAAAATGTATTGCAGAGTGTGCATTGCAGATTTGTTTGTAAATATTCTTTGGTTTAAAAAATGTCATACTTACAGTCATAAAAATAATTCAAAGCATTGTATCATGACCAAAAATTCTCATTGTCTGCATGTTTCAATTTTCAGATCCCCAAGACTCGGTAAGTTTTTCCACACCTTTTTGAACCTTTACCTTTGCAAGATATTCATATTCCGCTTTCCTAGTTATAGATTTGGTGTATTAAAAATCCTGCTCTAAGCTGCTGTAATATTATTTGACATAATCAAATGTAAAGCCTGCTTTCTTTATCCATGTCTTTGTAACAGGAGCCTGGACCTCATGCTTCAGGTAAGATTCTTTTTTTGTAACAGCTTTAGCATTGCTAGCATTAACAGGTCTATGTATTATAAGTGGCTTTGATCACATTAATGACAATTTCTATATTTGAAAACTACATTTGTAAAGAAGTGGAAAGCAGTGGTTTGATTTATTTTGCCTTTCATCATTGTCAAAACTACTGCTCATCTTCTGATACAGATGAAGCATGTACTGTATCTGGAGCAGATTTCTGCTGCCACCTAGTGCACATCTGATCGTTAATACAATTAAGTCATCAGTTTTTCCAGTACATACTGTATGCAGCATCTTAAAATACATGTAAAGCTTTGACCTTTACTAAAGCCCCTGAAGTGCCACATAATCTAATAGGTTTAATTTAATTTCAGTTTTTTAATTTTTAATTCAAGTATTGTGTTATTTAGAAGTATTTAAAGATTTTTATGGAAATAACTCAGTTTCAGCACTGAATGAATTTTCAAAAGACAAATCATCTCTGATTGATGATAATTTTAAAGAGGTAGTAATGCTTCTGTTGACATTTTTAGTTTAACACTTGGAAACCCACTAATTGTTGTCCAGAATTAGGGATAAAAAGGGTGGGGTTTGTTCTTGTTTATTAATGGGTTGTTCTGTGACTGTTAAGGCCCTAAGATGGTGGCTGTTCGGAATTACCATGGGACCCCCACACTTCCGGGAAAGCCAGTCCTCTCATTCCAGACAGGGGATGTCATTGAGCTGCTGAAAGGTGACCCTGACTCCTCATGGTGGGAGGTGAGTTTAGTTGACTGACCTTAATTAATGGTACCAGTCTTTTAATAGTGCATTTAATTTCAACAGAACAGCCCACACTCCATGAAAACATGAGTTCTTTATATCTTATAATCATACCAGCTCATAAATAATATTTCAACACATATCTTAATATAGTTCAGGTGGGTAGCTGCGTCAGCATGCGTAGTCTACAATTGAACAAGTAATAGTTTTTTTCCATGCTGAAAAGAAAAGAGAGAAAACCCAAAGTTTTGGCTGTGAAGCCTTCTTCGGCTGTGAGAAAGACAGGGCAGACAGCAAAGATTAAACAGCAAAGGAGAACAAAAGCTGGGAGAGGGGAGGATGCAGGAGGGGCAGAGAAGTGCAAAGTGGAGAGGGGTGAAGATATCTTAATATATAACCAGAGGTATTATGTGTTTTCCATCCAAGTGCTTAATAGGGAATAAAGAATCTTACTGCCAGCAAAAATGTTAATTGAAAACTTTCATTAAAATGTTACATTGCAGACATTTATCACACATTGTGCAAATGTCCAGTTAGTGCACAGCACTAATGTTTAGTGAACTTGAACTGCGAAGTGAGAACAAAGCCATTAATATTGTAAAGAATGTAGTTCTTAAAAATACTACTGTTTTAGTGCAATGTGAATAAAGCACATAAAAAATAAATAAAGTTTTAAACATGTATGTTGCAGGGAAAACTGGTGCAGACACAGAAGAGTGGCTTTTTCCCCAGTAATAGTGTGAAACCCTGTTTAGATCCTAAGGTAATACATCTAATTCTTTTAAGAAACTTCATTAAGGATTGCTCCACTATTGAACATGCACAAAACATTTCATAATGCACATCCCATTTATACTCTTTGAGAGCTTCTGAATGGGAAATATGCATTACGAAACTAAGAGTTACGAATTGGAAAGTAGATGCTGAATAACAAGTTGAACTCCTGTATTCTTGCTAGCCTGCACTGATGTTTTTGTAAATTAGGTTACCATCTGGTCTTTTACTCTTTTTTCCTTAGCTAAATCAGACTGCTTGCCAAAGTCTAAATTCAGTGCAGGCTCAAAAAAGCAAAAATCTCCAGGGTAGATCAGTCTGGATTTGTAGATATGAGATATGAGGTATAAATACATTCCCCAGGGCAATCCTGTTGGTAAGGACACTGCAGTAGTCTGTAGAATATAATCTAGCTCATACTTGTCCCTGCTAACAGAAAAAAATCAACAAACCTTCACATCCTCTATCTATGTGTTCAGTTCTAATATTGCAATTAATTTTGTTCTGCCTTTTCTTCCAGCCCTTTCAGTCTCTTCCTAATCGGCAGTCATCCAGAGATCACGATTACAATGCTTATCCATGGTAGGTGCCTCCTTAATATCTGAAAGAAGAAAAGTATGTTTCTTTCTTAAATAGCATAAAAATATGTTGTGATTTCGATATTCACTTCCTCCATGCGTGTTAAATATGTTGTGAATCGTCTCACACTGTTGAGTTTATGTTCTTTCAAGTATCAGAAGTATTTAAATAGTTTGGTATGGATCGGTTAGAAATATGATTTGGGCATTTGAAGAGAATAATAAAAACAGCTGTGAAACATGCTGAGTAGACACTACCTACCTTCTCTCTTCACTCTGGCAGGTTTGCTGGTAACATGGAGAGACAACAAGCAGACAATCTCCTTAAGTCCCACACCAGCGGAACGTACTTAATCAGAGAGAGAACGGCAGAGGCAGAGCGCTTCGCCATCAGCATCAAGTAAGATTGCGCTGGTGAATTTTCCTTTCATGGAACAAAACATCTCTTTCAGAGTTTGTGTTGTAAAAACCACCAAATGCTGAATGTTTAATTTGAGCAGTATGATTCTTATTAATGACGGTTACCTGCCTAAATCTATCATGTTATGTTAAATTAAAACTGTTCTCATGTACTATAAATTACAACATATTTTTAATTTATGCTCCTGTTCTGAAAATGTCTTTTTTTTCCAAGGTTTAATGATGAAGTGAAACATATTAAAGTTGTAGAAAAAGACAGCTGGATCCACATTACAGAAGCAAAAAAGTTTGAAAGCCTCTTGGTAATTATTTCATTTTTTTCCATCTTTTGGAATACAATACACTTTCCAGAGGTGTTGATTTCTAATTTAATACTGATTTGTTTATCTGCATTAGGAGCTGGTTGAGTATTATCAAATGCATTCTCTGAAGGAGAGCTTCAAGCTGTTAGATACAACATTACGGTACCCCTACAAATCTCGAGAACGGTCTACCTCCCGTGCAAATACTCGTTCCCCAGGTAAAGCATGCAGTTATAATCTGTTCTTTTTCTATTTATTCAAGCTTCTAACTGTTAAATGGACTCTGTCAAATAGTGAAGATGATTTCACTTCTAGGTAAAGACTTTAATCTATTGTAGACAGCTTGTAAGAGGAATGACAAGATGTAAATGCAGGTTAACTGATAGGTCAATCATTAAGAATACAAGCATGCAAACACATGCTCCCACTCAATCTCTGCTCCTGACCCTCTTTACTGGGGTCAGGAAAAAGTCTGATTATCATGTACATTGAAGCCTGAAATTACCATTGAATTACCATTGAAGCCAGTTAGGGCCAAAAACTTATTGTGTTATTATGAGATAACATTGCACAATAAGTGTACTCTTTTAACAAGATAACGTTGCATAATTTCAAAATTATTGAGTTTCAGCAAGACATCATTATACATACTGTATAATCTAAGGTTGAATGCCTTTCTCAAATGTACCATAAAAATAGTACATACCTGTCTTTACTTGACATAATGCTTGTTTCATAATGAAAAATATAACCGTTTTGCAATTAATAAACAGGCGGCTTTCATTCAGGCTTAAAAGTAAAGGTAAATATTTGTAATGTAAAATGTAATATTACACACCCAAAGAAGGCTCCACAACCAAAACGTTGTGTTTCTTTACTTCTCTTTTCAGCATGGAATAAACCTTCACTTGTTCCTTTGCAGCCTATGTATGCTGATGCAGCTACGTACTTGTGAAATTTTTGCCATGTACAGTATGTTCTGCTTTTCATGAAAGTATTGGCGAAGGGTCCAAGGCGAAATTTGTCACATGACCCTACTGGCTACAATGGTGAGAGAGAAGGATATCACAGTATTCACCAGGCTAGCAACATTCCTATGTACTGGTCAGTGATATGCATTTAACCACGGAACTAACCATGCAACCAGGAGTTATGCTTAATGTCTACAAATAGATGCTTTACAGGCTTTTCTTAATTCTAATCATTTGACAAAAGGGAGCATAACATTATACTTTCATTGTCTTTAATAAAAATGGTACTTTCATGAAGTTGGAAGTAATGCATTAAAAAGGATACTTGTACAATGTCAGAATTTTAGGTAAGAAAAATACACACTACTATGTAGTGAAAATTAGTGAACCCAGTAATCCCATATGTCACTGTGACTGTAGTTTGAGATTTAGTCTTTTGTGCGTGTGTTGTTTGGGACTGTTAACCTATTTCCAAACACTGAAAGACAGAAAGTTAGTTTCATCAAACACCTTGTTATTAATCCATCTTGTGCTAAAACTTGGAAAAATGTTATGGTATTGTTTTTTACCACAAAAAAATCCTATAATTTGTAAGTACTGATTTTTTTTTTCATCCAAGGGTATTTCATCAGGTATTTCTGGTATTTCATGCAACACCTCAATATGAGTTTCTTGTTAAACTGTTATGAGTTTCTGTTACGGGGTTTAGTGTGAGAGCTAAATTCTGTTTCAAGGTAATCGTTTGGGACAAAAATAGTTGTTTGTTTCATTTTCTAATTTGTTTTAGTTTCTTTAGTTTTTTTCTTCAAATTTCCTTAAATCTTCTGCCTGCTGTACTTCACTTAAATGATTGAAACATCCAAGTAGTGAATATACTTAGTGAATTCTGCAATAAATTCCAAGACAAGCTCAGTGGAAGTACAAAGACAGGTGGTATTTTGCCTTCTATTGGAACTTTATTCATCTTAAATCTGTGTGAATAATTATACAATTATTATTGAAACAAAGTAACATTCCACAGAAAGAAAACACGGACACTTCTGATTGGTTTACAGACTCATGCAGACACTCATGATTAAACAGTATGAGTAGAAATCCAATGAACAAAGTCTCCTAAAAGAATAAGAGTGATGAAAAGCAGTTTTGACAGTATTGTTACACTGGTCACACCCTCTGAATAATCACATTATTAATGCATCAACTCATGCAGAAACACAGTCACTCAAGGTTAACGGACAGCGCATCTTTCAATCATTTAAATAAACTACAGTATGCACAGAATAGTGATGTCACAGATTTAAATAATTTATTTTTTTAAGGATAAATAATGACAGGGCAAAGAAATTGAAAAACAAAATGAATTTAAAAAAGAAATTAAATAACTTTCTATTTTATACCAAAGAATTATCTTGAAACAAAATGTAGCTTTGAAAATGTAGCTTCTTCACATGAACAAAAAACTCCAGTTCTATCGCAGACTCTTCATGAAGTCTGGATGAAATACCCTCAGCCAAAAAAAATCTTTGCTTACAATTCATTGGAAAGTTTTGTGGTTAATGAGTGAACCAAAACTTTTGTTTCACAAATGTTAGAACAAGATAAATTAATAACAGGTTTCTGAGCATTATACCATTCTGTGTTTGGACAGAGGATAACGGTCCCAGACAGCATTCACAAAAACAGTAAATATCAATCTACAGTCATCAAGTGATTTATCCAAACACTACCTTTATGATTTTTTCGCTACATCAAAGCATGTTTTCTTACCTATTTAAAGGGGAACAGCAGAGCTATTTTTATATTTTGGGGGTTAGAAAGAATTGACATTTATTTGTGCATTTTAAACCACAGTAAAAGTAAAATGCATACTGTTACATGTAAAACCTCAGATTTACACCACAAAATTGATCATATTTCCAGGTACGTGCAGAGCCATGTTCTGTGATTCAAAATGAGGCAACCAAACATCTGGTGAGATGAAGTAGCTCTGTTACATTGTAAAGAAGCAGACTTGTGAAAACATCTCTTTTAATCCAATAGAAATTTTGCTCTTGTCATTGCGATGGTTTTGCTGACAGATACAGTACAACTTACTTTTTAACTCTGGATGCAGATCACATTGGAACATTTCTGCTGTGAAATAGCTGCTGCAAAACCTGTACTTATTTGCTCATTACAGATGCAGCCATTCAAATTAAGCGGGGTACGCTGCTGTACAACGTGGTGGGCATGTCGCATCTATGCACGGCATAACACCAAGTCATAAATACCAAGTCATACCGCAATTTACCGTATGCATATTAGATTATGTTTATAGTATCGGGAATCACCTTGTAAAACCGCCAGGTGGAGCTAATAAAGCTTAACCTCTCATGTACAGCATTTGAGCTGTTACCAGAAAACACCCGGTTTTGAATCCCAATCACTGCTGAGGGACAATCTTTATTCAATTAAGAATTTAAGTTGTATACTCTTTAGACTTTTAAATTTAAACTGTATATTACAGCATATTAATCAT